TTTTTCATGTATTATCACTTTCCTTTTTAATTTGTTATATATTTAAAATTATATGATTATTATTATAAATCATAATAATTAACGTATCAAATACATATAAATCAAAATTAACTATTACAAAAAAATTATTATAAATCAAAATAACAACTTAAATGAAAAACATTTTTTGTTTTATTGGCTTTTTAATTTTATCAGTGTCATCTAATTTCTGATTATAGTCATTTTTCATACGTTCGATACGATGAAAGTTAATTTTTTACGAAAATAAATTTCCTTTCGTAATTATCTTCACATGCAAGAAATTAGAAGTCATTTTTCAATGCTGAAATGACTTCCCTTAATCTTTAGCACCAAAATTTTCATCAAAACACCCTCTGATTGCTATTGTTATTATTTTTGTAATATACATTTTCGAAAAGTATTTTTCACTCACCAATAAACACCGTAAATGACTTTCATCGTACCAAACACGTGATTCTTATATCTGATCAACCAAACACATAGTACTTTGATTTTCAAAGAAGATTAAGACAAGTAGTTTTAACAACAAGAACTTTACATTATTAACAATACATAGGGGGATCTTTTAACAAGACGAAGCTCGATAATACAACAAACATAACTAGTAAATCTCCAGAAAGAACAACACAAGCAGAGTAATTTCTTTGATGTAAGCTAAAATACTTATCACCAACACGAGGCGTAGCTAGCTAGGCTCTCGATGTTAGTAACTACTTGCATGAATATCCGGGGATCTGTATGAAGCGTTGCTCCTGTTATGCAAACTTATATCTGTACTAAACCTTCATCATCGTTCTCTTGACACAAACAAAGGCGATATATAACCCATACGAGCAAAGGGAGACCGGAGAAGAGAGACTATTCTTCACACTCGTACTCCTTCATCATCTTCCTATCCCGATAATAGTTGCAACATACAACTATTATCCAACGGAAGTTTCCATTTCCATAACTAAGCAACGCCACTATCCCATTATACGTCTTACTAACTAAATTCAAACTCATAACCTCCCGAGCTCATTACGTATCACCAACATTAGGCGAAGCTAGACTCTCAATGTAAGTAATCGCTTGTACTTGAAGACAATAACCCAATGAATGAATGTCCAAGGATTCATGTGAAGCATTCCTCGCGTTGTACAAACTTATATTAGTACCAAGCCTCACTAAAACCTCACCACCATTCTCCGACACAGACAAAGGCGAGACATAACCTAAACGGCCAGAAGGGGCCGTGATATTAGAGACCAACTTAGTCCACGACGACTCCACACCATACTCCTTCATCACCCACATATCCGTCCTAACCGAATGATAGTTGCAACAAGCAACTAAACATCCATTTAAAACACTCAACGACCAACTAGTGTTCCCATTTCCACAATTAGGCAATGCCATTATTCCATACGTCTCCGTAGACAAATCCAATGTCATTATCTCCGAAGAACCACCACCACCATCACCATCACCAGAGTCGCGACAATGGCTTACCTCCCAATGAAGATATCCATTCAAACACATCCCGGATTGTGCATTAACATAACCACTATCAAACGCCTCACCCATTTTCCAAGAATCATACTTCAAGCTATAAACCTTCACCTTATTCTCATATCTCCCCTCATTTCGCGGAAAACTAAAGATCTTAACCACCTTATAATCATCATTAACATAATCATAACCAAACCCATATCGTATATAACAATTTACAGCACATTGAACAAATGAATCTTCAAATTCCTTGTGTTTTCCAGTAACAGGGTTCCATATCATAAGTTTAAATGACATAGGGGTTAAACAAATCAACCCATTACAAGAACCCAAAAATTTTGCAGATCCAAAAGGAGGTTTTAATGGGTAATCAATTTTATCAACATTTACAGAGGAATTTTCACAATCAAGAGAGTAAACAGAGCACATTTTACCCATTAAACCAGCTACTGAAGCTACAATAACAAGTCTTAGATTCACATTTTTGGATTTTTTAACACAAAATTTGATCTGGGTATTGATGAAATATGGAGTTGAGATTAAAGAAAGCCAAGATTTTGAAACACACCTGAATTTCAAGATAGATTTTACTGGTAACCTCAAGAGTATTTCAATGATGATTTCATCTGGTAGACATGAAAATTGAAGCAATTCTTGAGGAATTTTTGCTTCAGCTAATTTGTTTTGAGTTTCCATTGAAGCAAAAATCTTCTAGATTGGAGAATTGGAAGAGGTGATAAGAAAGAGAGAGATATGAGGTCCCAAGTCTTTGGATAGTGAAGTTTTGGAGCTCAAGGCATGTGGTGTGTACACCTGGATGATTCGGAATCGATTTTTTAAAGAATTTTTTTGAGTATATTGTATTGCGTTTATCTAATGTGATTTACATTCTTTTATAGTTTGAAGTTATTATGTAATAAGAAATTTATCTGATACATGTAAAACGTTCATGATAGAGTGTTCAATGAAAATACTGAGGTTATCGAGGCGTGCACGTTATGCTCTCAAGTTTCCAGAAAAAAAAGGCGGAATAGGAATGTAAGATCTCAACTATAAAGTTTTTTAGTACTAGTATGAGTAGGGTTTGAAAAAAGTAATGTATACGTTATCTTATCCTTAATATTTTTTAGAACTTTTTTATTTGACTTTATTGTATTGCGTTTATCTAATGTGATTTACATCCTTATATAGTTTGAAGTTATTACGTAATAAGAAGTTTATCTGATACATGTAAAATGTACATGATAGAGTGTTCAATGAAAAATACTGAGGTTATCGCGGCGTGCACGTTATGCTCTCAAGTTTCCAAAAAAAAAGGTGGAACAGGAATGTAAGATCTCAACTATAAAGTTTTTTAGTACTAGTATGAGTAGGGTTTGAAAAAAGTAATGTATATGTTATCTTATCCTTAATATTTTTTAGAACTTTTTGATTCGACTTTATTGTATTGCGTTTATCTAATGTGATTTATATCCTTATATAGTTTAAAGTTATTACATAATAAGAAGTTTATCTGATACATGTATGAACATTTTACGTGATAGAATGTTCAAAGAAAATACTGAAATTATAAACGACGTGCACAATTATAGGAATGTAAGATCCCAATCTAAAGTTTTATAGACTAATATGAGTAGGGTTTGGAAAAAAAAGTCTACATTATTTTATTTTTACTATTTTAAAAAGAGTAGTAAACTATCTTTGATAGATTCTTTAAGTGTCATTTTATAGAATACATTTTAAAAAATAATGTTTTGCATAATGCATTAAAAAAAATAATGTTATGCATAATGCATTAGCTTCCATAACTATACTCTATTTTGCTATTATATTAGGTATAATTGATATATGAGAAATTATTAGTCATGCAAGAGGTTTTACTACATATTTAGCATGAATGTAGACATAATTATCACTCAAAATATTTTGATATCTTTTTCATTGTATTTGTGGATGATTCTTTTTTTTAAACAGATAATTTTTTAAAGAAAATTATGTAATGAATATTATTTATACTATATCTAATCTAACGATATTTGATAGTCATATTAAATTTTAATTCACTCTTTGTCTAATCCATTTTTAAAAAAATGATATTTAATAAGTTTTTTTATTCATAGCTTAAATTTAAAAATTATTAACAATTAATAATAGAGGTGAGTAGGTGAGGAGAGAAAAATGGTGGAAGTCTTTGGATAATTGACTTTGGAATTTCCTCCAACTTTTTGGTAAATAGTTGTAAAAGACAAGTTTTTTGAGCTATTATATAACAAAGTTTAAATTAAATTGAATCACACAATTTTTTCTTCTCCTTTTAATTTAATTAATTCTTAAAAAATATTATATTTATATTCTATAATTATTTTTGATTATTTTAAGTTTGATGAAAACGAGTTTTATATTATAACTATATGTGAATATTAAGATACTCCTAAGTTTTGTATTATTTTTTTTTAAAAAGTACACGTGACAGCAACTACCCAACTACCCATTTTTTATTTATTTAAATACTTACTTAAATAACAAGTGTTATTTAATATATGAGTAGTTGAATTTTGTGGACGCATATTAAATTAAAAAAAAGAAAAATTATATAAAATAACAATTATTGATTCAAATAAAATATTATAAATAGAGTTTCATTTAATTTTATTCTGTTTCGCTCGCTTACTTCTCTCACTTTATACAAACATAATGTATAAATTGTGTTTCCGTTTGTATAAAGCGAGGAAAAAATTGTATATATAAATACATATATTTTTGTCCTATACACTTAAAATTATACAAATACAGATCTTCCCTTGTCTAGTGTTCTTTTGTCTTTCTCACTTTATATAAAAACATATTATACAATTGATTCGTATATGTATACCGAAATATACATATTAATACCCATATTGGTATATGCATACTGAAATATACAAATTAAATAGTCATTCGTATATGTATAGCGAAATATACAGATTAATAGACATTCGTATATGCATAGTGAAATATACAAAATACAAGCTACATAGCAAACATAAAATTTATTACGAAGCACAAACTATAACTATAACATACGAGTATGATTTTTATGTTTGTTATATGTGAAAGTTGCTCATGTAAAATATTAGTAGAAGTATGACATCTTTACTAAAAATGTTGGTAATTTGTCATTAGAGCTCGGTGAATTCACGCCGAGAGGTCCCACATTGAGGGTAAACCACCCCTAACAAACTCGATCATGTACATGTTGGAGGTAAAACACTCCCTAACTAACTCGACCCTGTACCTTGTAAAACACTCCCTAACTAACTCGACTCTGTACACATTATAGGTAAAACACTCCCTAACAAACTCGACCCTGTACACATTGAAGATAAAACACTTCCTAAGAAACTCGACCTTGTACATGTTGAAGGTAAAACACTCCCTATCAAACTCGACCCCGTACTCGAGTGATTATCACATTATTTTGATGTTTGTTAGTTCTCTTTTTTCTTAATTCTTTCATATACATTAAAGGGATTGATGAAACATGTAATCATTTTAGTACTCAATGAGCCAAGGTTGAGTCCTATGTACTCAACTTATACCAAAATTGGAGCATCAATCTCCCATAAAAACCCTACAATACAAAATCCTCAATCTCCCATATAAACCCTACAATACAAAATCCTCAAAGCCTTCAAGGAAACTGACTTGATCTTTTGACGATTCAATAAAACCCCAAACGACACGTGAAGATTAAAGAAACAATCAATATAGACAACTATTAAGCAGATACTGAAGCATGTTTTTCGTCTAAGCTTACATAACATAAAGATCACACTTACTCATAACCAATCTCTTCACAATCAGCAAAACTACGCAATCTCAAACACAACATGTAATGGTAAAATCGAAGAATAAGACAACATGTTCTTCCTGAACTTCTAGTCCCATGGAATTCTCAAGTTAGCTAAACTTCCCGCGAACAAGATGGATAAATCTGTAGAAGGCGAAATTTCTTTCAAGGTAAACTCATTCACTTCTTGTTCACGCACATTGTACTCTATAAACTCACCATTCGTTTTCCTCCACAGGATATTCTCATTTTCCTTCAAACATATGATATCATCTAAATACCATTTCTCCTTCTCTCCAACTCCAACGAATGAGGGCATCGTTGGAATTTTCATGACGTTAGTCCATGTCCATCGTTCCCCATCTTTCTCGAGTGAACACAACAAAAAATCCATCTCAACAAACACGGAGAAAAGATAGAGACGATTAGCAAAATTATATAATTTCATACGAGTCCCATGATATTGCAATGGGACGGGCGTTACAATAAATTTCTCATTAGCCACAAATAAAGATATAGTCACAAACTTATTATCTAATCCACTATTATCATCATTGGCCATCATGTTAATCGTACCATCTAATGAAACTGGATTTTGGTCAAACAAACGATAACCAATAGGAACAAAGTCAATCTTTTTCCAAGACTCATTATTCACAGAGTATATTCCAATAACATAATGTCTATCTTTCGAATTAATCACAAATATAGCGATTATCTTATAATCATCACAGATAGAATCATACACGAATCCATACAACGTTGATTCGAATTCATATAGCATTGATATGTATCGATGAGTCTTTTGAACAGTTTTGTATTTTCGAATAGCTGGATTCCATATAAATATCGCGAACTTATACACCACACATAACAAGCCGTTACAAGAACTCACCAATGGATATGAAATATCTCGAGACATTAGATAATTTGGTGGATTAAGAGAAACAACTTGAGAATTCACACTAAGTGATGATGCACATGTTGTACCAATGTTGAATGCTAACATGTTATATTTTAAACAAGGTGATGGAGTTGTTTTTGATGAAATTAAGAGGATATTTTGACGATTAATATCGGACGATGAATCGTCTATATGCAACTTGATGAAATTGGGATCGTTGATGATTGAACACCATGATTTTTGAACAATTTTAAAACGTTGAAGAGATTCAACAGGGAGTTTTGAGAGGATGCAAGTAATTACATCATCTCCCAAATTAAGACTCATTGGACTATATGTTTACTTAGGGTTTTTTGTTCTTTTTATATATATATATATATATATACTACTTATAAAATTAATTTAAATTTGGAAAATCATAAAGTTTTTAAAGTGTTCTTTCCATATAGTATTTTCTATTTTGGCATAATACGTTTAACTTGGCTTCGAATCACATTTATGTCCTTCAACTTTGGGTGTACACAATTAGACACTTAAACTTGTATAAAGTTGAACAAATAGGCAGACATGTCCTACATGTCATCCTACATATCATTTTTTATCCTACGTGTATTTTGTCATGTAGGACTCATGCGTTTATTTATTTAAAAGTTGGATGGTTAAAGTGTCTGTTTGTGCATTATGAAAGTTGGAGGTCAAGTTAAAATTTGAAACCAAATTTAGGGTCCAATATATGTATTATGCCTTCTATTTTTGTATAGTTTTCAAAGTATTATATTTAATCGTATTCGAGTTGAATTAGGATTATTATATTCTATATAATTGGCTCGTGACCCAAAAAAAAAAAACTAACTTCTTCTATGGGTTGTATTCCAAATTTGTCTATTGATATTGTCTACTCCATCCTATTAGAGCTTCCTGTTAAATCTCTTTCACGATTCAAACTTACATGTAAGTCATGGTGTAGTACGATTAATGATCCCGAATTCATTAATTCTCATCTATATAAATCATTTAACGATATTAATCTTCAAAAGAATCTCATTTTTTTAAATGATAAAGATTGTAATTATTCGATTTAAGTATTATCGATGGAAGGTTCAATTAGCGCTGATTCCAAAGTTGCATTGATGAAGCACCCGAATATCCCAATATTATGTAGACACATTGGTTATTTAAAAGTGATTTCATGCAATGGTTTGTTCTTTATTCATGATTCTTTCACTGGCACAATATTATGGAATCCCGTCATTCGAAAATACAAACGGATTCCAACGTGTTATATATGTTGCAACATATGACTTATTTCATGAATTATTTCGTTAGGCCGATATTCGGTTTTGCTTATGATTTTGTGGCGGAGGATTACAAGGTCTTATGTATAGTATTACAACTTCAAAGTAATACAATGCATCCACGTTACGTTGTTGGAATTTATTCAGTTAAAAATCAATCGTGGAAAATAATTCAAGATATTTTCCCCCTTCCTAGTAGTGATTTATCGTTGTACGTAAAAAATGATCCAGTTTCATTAAACGGTGTCATTCACATGATGACTACTTCGATTTCATCCAAATCTGAACAAATGGTTATATCTTTACACGTAGCAGATGAAAAATTTATTGTAACACCCATGCCGAGTAAATGTGGTGAACTTGTGAAATTATGTGCATGGGTAATCGCGCATATGTGAGTCCGGAGCCTAAAGGGTAAAAAATGTTAACAAAAATTCC